CAGGGCTCTCACTTACAGGGACCCCTTTCAGTGCCCTGACCATGTGTCCACTTAGTCATATGCTTTTGTAAAATTTGCATAAGTACAACCAGCATCTCCTTCTACCCAGACTTCCCTCCATCATCATCCTTTCAAATCACATGGCAGCTAAGGGTATTTCAGGATCTAACTAAAGGGATGTCAAAGCAAAGATACAGTGAATTTCGTTCAGTGTGATGTATTCACATAGTTTGCAGGCACTTCTGGGCATTAGTTATTTCCAGCTGTTTGAATGTAGGACTGGCTTTTGGTAATGCTTTTTTTTTTTTTTAATTGAGATATAACTCAAATACCATAACATTGAATCTTTTAAAGCATATAATCCAGTTATTTTGGAGTATTCACAAGGCTCTGCAACTATTACAACTATTTGATTCCATAACCTTTTCACACCCCACCTTCCCAAAGAAACCCCATTAGTCACTCTCCATCCCTTCCTTCCCTCACTGACCTCTTAATCCTTCTTAATCTAATTTATGTGTCTGAATTTGCTTATTCTGGACACTTCATGTAAGTGAATGTATAAGTGGTTTTTTTCACTTTGCACAATATTTTCAAGGTTCATTCATGTTCTAGCATGAGTCAGTTCTTTATTCATTTTTATGGCTAAATAATATTCCATTTTGTTCATCCATTCATCAGCTGGTAGACATTTTGGTTATTCCCAATTTCCTGACCAATGTGTGAACTCAGCTAACATGAAGCTCTAGACCAGTGGTAGTATCCGAATATGAACCGCCTAGGGTGACCAGTGCTGGAAGAGTTACTGTTGCGAAGGAGAAACACTTTGAAATATACAGTCAGAAGTTATCATGTCAGAGGAATGACTATCTCTGTCCATTCTCCATGTAGAAGTGATGTAACAAAATTGTTGTCAAATAAAGAGGTTACCAAAATTTTGCAGCCCAAATATGTAGAAAGACATATAGAGGTATGTCAGTTAATTAAAATATCTTTTTTAGGGGAGGGGAATATTTTTTGTTGATTATCAATTTTTTCAAAAACATGTGCTTTGTGGTTTATTTTCTCATTTTAAATAAACCCTTTTAAATTTGAGTGCAGATTTGTAATTTTGCATTTCTTTTCTTAAAGCCCCCCTAAATCAAATATGCAGGCCCCTCAAAATAAGGATCCACCCTGCTCTTAAGCAATACTTTCAACTCCTCCCCTTTTTTTTTTTTTTAAGTTTATTTATTTGTGGGGAAGGGCAAAGAGAGAGGGAGAAAGAGAATCCCAAGCAGTCTCAGCACTGCCAGCGCCGAGCCTGACCCGGGGCTCCAACTCACAAATGGCTAGATCCCGACCTGAGCCAAAGCCAAGAGTCTGAAGGTTAAGGACTGAGCTACCTAGGTCCCTCCCACCCCCCTTATTTTGGTAGTACTACTTAGAGGTGACCAGGAGCTTTTGTGAGAGGTTTTCTCCTAGGGAATTATACAGCAAGTTGCTCATATTGTTGCTTTCCATCTTCTCATTGTCCATCCTTTCCTTTTTCAGCTTGCAAACACTTTCAGGAAAAACTAGCTCATGCAATACCTTATTACCTCATTAAGTATGCAATACCCTGAAGAGCTGCTGTGATTGATTAAGTACTTTCAGCAAATATTTCCCTCTAGGCTCTCCTTCCCTCTGGGGCCGAGTCTACCTCCCCTCCATTCCCGGGTTCCCACCGTGGGCTTGGCCATGTGACTTGCTTTGGCCAATGGGATGTGGACAGAAGTACACCTGACACTTCTGAGCACCAGAAGCCGCTTTAGATCACTTTCTGGGAGCCAGTGGTCTTTCAGCGTGGGTCCTGCCAGAAGATACTCCTGGAGACCTGCATTCTGAATCCAAAGCTCAGCCTAAGGAGAAGCTGCAGCGGCTGACCTGCAGACCGTGAGTGAGAAATAAACATCAACTGTTCTGAGCCCTCGAGTTGGGGGTTGTCTGAAACACAGTGGAGCTGCAGCAGGAGCTGACTGATGCAGACGCACGTTCCCAGTATGAACAGAGGAGCCGATATCATTTATCTCTTGGGAGACTGCCTAGCTTGGTCCCGAGGTCAATCTTCCGAGATCCCTGATAGCAGATCCCAGTACACCACCTGTCTAGGCTCCTAATTAGAAAAAAGAATCATTTAAAAATATTCATTCATTTTTTGAGAGAGAAAGACGGAGTGCGAGCAGGGGAGGGGCTGAGAAAGAGGGGGACCTGAATCTGAGGGAGGCTACAGGCTCTGAGCTGTCAGCACAGAGCCCAAACATGGGACTTGAACTCACAAACGGTGAGATCATGACCTGAGGTCAGTAGCTCAACTGCCTGAGCCACCCAGGTGCCCCTCTAGGCTCCTAATTTATCACTTTTCCATCTTTCAAGGAAATCTATTTCTGGGTTGAGGAACTGCCTCCTTTTCCCCACCTCCCTGCAGCTATCATTTTAAGTACAAGTTTTTTCATTGTTTCTGTAAAACATTTTGTCACTTCAGTTAAACTTCCAAAAGCAGCCCACTACACTTCTCCAACCCTCTAATTTATAGCTTCAATTTGACAACCCAATCAAAAATAGAAAGAAAAAAAAAACCCTCTGGGACTTTTTTTAAAATGTTACTTCCAGTTAAATTTATTGTTTTATTTTTGAGTTGGTAGGAGATTAGAATAAAAAAGACAGACTATTTCAGATTTAATACATTTTGCCAGAAATTTTCTGAAGTTGAGAAAATTTCATTAGGTTTTAATGTCTTTAAGTTTATTAAAATTTCTTCTTTTTAGTTGAGTAATATTTCCTCTGCATAGCATGATAATGCAAAGTGAACTATGTCCAAACTTTATTTACTTATTTTTAATTCACATCCAAGTTAGTTAGCATATAGTGCAATAATATTTTCAGGAGTAGATTCCAGTGATTCATCTCCTATGTATAACACCCAGTGCTTATCCCAATAAGTGTCTTCCTTAAAGCCCCTGACCCATGTAGCCCATCCCCCCACCCACAGCCCCTCCAGCAACACTTAGTTTGTTCTCTGTATTGAAGAGTCTCTTATGATTTGTTCCCCCTCCCTGTTTTTATATTCTTTTTGCTTCCTTTCCCTTATGTTCATCTGTTTTGTATCTTAAATTCTTCATATGAGTGGAGTCATATGATATTTGTCTTTTTCTGACTAATTTCAACTAGCATAATACCTTCCAGTTCCATCCATGTAGTTGTAAATGGCAAGATATCATTCTTTTTTATTGTCGAGTAATACTGCATTGTATATATATACCACATCTTCTTTATCCATTCATCTGTTGATAGACATTTAGGCTCTTTCCATACTTTGGCTATTGACGATAGCGCTGCTATAAACATTGTGGTGCATGCGTCCCTTTGAAACAGCACACCTGTATCCCTTGGATAAGTACCTAGTAGTGCAGTTGCTGGGTCAGAGGGTAGTTCTATTTTTAACTTTTTGAGGAACCTCCATACTGTTTTCCAGAGTAGCTGTACCCGTTTGCATTCCCACCTGGGACTCTTTGGTCAAGTGATTGCACTTTAAGGAATTTAGCCTAGGGGAATGTGAGTGCCTCAGCCAGTTGGGCGTAAGACTTTGGCTCATGGTGTGATCTCATGGTTCATCATTTTGAGCCCTACATAGGGCTCATTGCTGTCAGCACAGAGCCTGCTTTGGATCCTCTGTCTCCCTCTTTCTCTGCCCCTCTCCTGCTCACTCTCTCTCTTTCAAAAAAAATATAAAACATTTTAAAAAATAAAGGAATTTTGCATAAAAGAACAATCACACAAATATATAAAAATGCATATAGAAGGATGCAAAATATGAGAAACAACCTAAGTGCCCAACTATAGGGGATAGGTGAAATAAAGTATATAAATATAATGGGATACTCAAACTGCTACCATTAAAAGTGTTAGAGTGAAAACATGTTTATGGACATAGAAAGGCAAAAGTTGCCAAATAGAATGTACAGTATAAACTGATTTTGTGAACACAAAATCTATTACATAGATTTAGCAAGATTTGTGTTTTACAGTTGCTATCTATATCTGGTTGTTAGAACTATGAGTGGCCTTTGCTTATTTCATTTTGCTTATCAGTTTTTCTTCTTTTGCTAACCATATTTTCTAACATTCTGCAAAGAATATGTTCTACTTTTGTAGTGAAAATGAAGCAGTTGTATTGTCATTTGGACCCTTGGAACTGTTTAAGTGAATTGAGAGGGCCTCTTTTTTTCCCTCTCTCTCTAATTTTCAGTTTCATTTTCTAGATCCTCAGGGGTCGGAGGTGTAACACAAAGATGACAAGGATGGTGATGGGGCAGTTCTGTTCACAAAAAGAGAGCAGGTGTGGGCATCCATGTGGAGAGAAAGGGGACACCAAGCAAGCCTCCCACAGTGATCTGGGCAGTGCAGGTAGGTAGATTTCCTCCTGCGCCCTTCCTGTAAAAACTAAGCAGTTTCTGATAAGCTTGGGATTTCCATTTCCTGATGGAATACAAGTCAACACAAGATGGAAGCAATGATGGTTAGAGCCCTGGTTGGAGAGGAAGTGACAGATCCAACTGGGAACATTTTTCACTTGATTGTATTTTGCGCATGTCAGCCAGGAATGAGCCACCTTTTGTTGCTGGAGGATCAATTCAGGAAGAATGAAGTTCCTGAGAGGTTAACATGGTAAGCTAGTGGTTTATGGGAAGCAAGTGGTGAAGTCAGACTTTGACTTTCCACCCAATGCATATTCTACCCATGGCATTTTTCCCCTTTTTAAATAGTTTATTGTCAAGTTGGTTTCCATATAACACCCAGTGCTCATCCCCACACGTGCCCTCCTCCATGCCCATCCTACCCATGCCCTTTTAAGGACTACTGAGCAGACTCATGAGGCAGCAGTGACAAAGTTAACTCAGAGTTAGAGAAAAAAAGCCATCTGCAGCCTAATCATCTATGTGAGTCATCTCACACCACCAGCTAGAGAGATGGTCCCTGGGAACAGTATGGACCGCTTCGCACACTTGCATGACATCCTTGTGCAGGGGCTATACCGGTCTTCTCTCTATTGTATCTATTTTAGTCTAAGGGGAAAAAATGATTTTTTAGAGAGAGAGAGAGTGTGTGCAAGGGGGGAGAGGGGCAGAGGGAGAGAGAGAGAGAGAGAGAGAGAGAGAGAGAATCTTTAGCAGGCTCCATGCTCAGCACAGAGCCCAATGCAGGGCTTGATCCCACGATCCTGGGACCATGACCTGAGCTGAAATCAAGAGTCAGATGCTCAGTGGACTGAGCCAGCCAGGAGCCCCCTGTTGAATGTATTTTAGTACGTGTGCTGCCAAAGAGAGCACAGGAGGAGCTCCTATTACCTGCCATGGCATGAGCGCTCCACCTTTTTAAAGAAAGGGGTGATTCCAGATTCAATGTTGTCCATCTGCAATGAAAAATGGTAAAGAGAAAAATCAATAAAATGAAGAGAGTTATAACAATAAAATATGGTGAGAAGAATGTCGTCAATCTGATAAGCTAAAAAGGATCCCCGAGTAAGACTGTCCAACCAAAGGAGATCAAAGCAGCAGCAGAACATAGCGCTGGATTTCACAGCAAGAACACCTGATGGGGCCGAGCAACCTTGCTCCAAAGCAACAGATGCTTTGGCTCCACCATTCTGGACCAGAGGAGCTAAACTAATGGTGGAGAAGCCCGGTGTGTACATCTCTGGCTCTGCATTCAGGCATGGCAGATTGATGGCTTGAAGTCAGCTCTGGTGGGGGTACTAACATCACAAAAATCAGCAAATGCTATAAATCAAGGCTCTTTCCCTCAGAGACCTGGTTGTGAAGCACTTACCAGCATATTACTAACACAAAGCATCTAACCTTTCAGGGGGAAAAGCCAAGGGAAAATCAAGCAGTCCTGGCAGAACTTCAAAGGTATGCAAAGGCTTCTCCCAACTACTTGACCTCACTACCCCTGCCCACAGCAGTGCTTCAGGACACCCCCAAGCCCCCCTTCCCAAACCCTTTCCTGTTATCTCTAAGCCCCCTAGGGCTCTTAGAACAGACCTGAAAACAGGGCACATTCTCAAAGAGAAGCAAAAGAATGAGTGAAAGTCTGATTCCTGCCATGCACAGGGCATGCCACCCCTGGACATAAAGTGAAACTTGAACGGTCCCTTTGGACTTACAAGGAAAATATAAAGGAAATTAAAAAGGCCCTTAATGGTACTTGACTTGTAGAAGGGCAAATCTGACTTCCTTTATATTTTTTCTCCAAGATCTGTAGCTCTGTCTCGAGTAGGACTTTTGTTACCTTTTTTCTTATGTCTGCAGAAGTAGCTCAGCTTTAAAGGAGAATTATTAAAATTATCTGGGGTAAGTTGTAAAATCTTTCACTGTTGCCAAGTCATCAACTCTTCCTGCATTATCGTAAGTTCTCAGAAGCTTAGCTTCAGCCTTTCCTCTCCTCCACTTCAGCTGACCTGTTACAGTTAACTAGCCTGGAGGAATGTGATCCCTTTTGAGTGAGTTTCAGTGGGACAAAGGCAAGGGTATGGAGAGAGAGGGACTAGGCAGTGACATCAAAATGATGTCCTGTTTTACTGTCCACCTGACATGGTTGTCGTTTTTTATGCTGGTGTCTGTAAGTCTTGTACCTATGTGTGATCTGTCATTGCTGTTTATAAAATCCCTTAAAGAACAACTAAAAGCTGGGGCACCTGGGTGGCTCAGTTAGGTGTCCAACTTCACTCAGGTCATGATCTCATGGATCATGAGTTCAAGCCCTGTGTCAAGCTCTGTGCTGATTGCTCAAAGCCTGGAGCCTGCTTTGGATTCTGTGTCTCCCTCTGTCTCTGCCCCTCTCCCACTCTCGCTCTCTCTCCCCTTCAAAATAAATAGACATTTAAAACTATTTGAAATAAAATTAAAAAAAAGAACAACCTGAAAGTTAAATTTAATGGCTATAACATGCACGATAGAATGAGAGAAAGAAGCTCCAGATCCTGAGAAATCTTCAAAACAGATAAACTCTCTCTGTACGGTGGCAAAAAATAATGCTTTGAAGTTTTCATTATAAGAACATCGTGCATATCAAAGAAAACTTAGAATATATGAAAGCACAGAAAATAGTAGGAATCACCAGAGTCCCATCATGCAGCCATGATGACTGCTTCCATTTTAGTTGGATTATCTCTAAGGTCTATTTCTGTGTGCGTGTGTGTATTTATTCAGATATCGAGCAGAAGATGCAAATGAGCAGCCTTTCAGCTAAAAAAACCCCCAAATCTGGCATGTTTTATTGGGCTCATGCAAAATATTTATCATTTAAATTAGACTTTAACATGCAGAAATGAAGACATTTTTACATTAAATCCAGAATTGGAATTTTTCTTGAAAAATTGAAGTTGTATTTTCAAATGGCAGGAGCTGAGGAGAGAGTCACCTTCAAAAGGAACACATGCTTGTCAATTTGCCATTGTCACAATGCAGTTTCTTTTATTTGTTTATGTTACCTTATTTGGCTTTCATAGGTGTTTAAGTTTGATCTCCTTGATGTAGAGTGTTTTATTTATTTAGATTTTTTTACTGTTTTATTTATTTCTGAAAGAGAGAGAGAGAGACAGAATGAACAGGGGAGGGTCAGAAGGAGAAGGAGACACAGAATCCAACAGTCTCCAGGCTCTGAGCTGTCAGCACAGAGCCTGACGTGGGGCTTGAACCCATGAACCGTGAGATCATGACCTGAGCCGGAGTCAAACGCTTAACCAACTGAGCCACCCAGGTGCCCTGTAGAGTGTTTTATTTTAATCATTGCATTCATTTTGCATGTGCAATTTTATGTTCAGCTCTTTTCCGTAAGCAATGTATCACTAACCTTTTCCCCTGATTATTCTGGTATACATACAGTGTTACACACCATGTAATACTGTAGATGTTTTCTCCCTGATTATCCTAGAGTATATATAGTAGCAAATATCAAGTACATAAAAGTATGAAGAAGATATTAACTATTATTTGGAAAATTTTCTTCTTTTTTCTATGCAAATATCCTTTTTAATAGTGGGAATCCTTCTGTACATAAAATTTTGTAGCCTTTTTTCACTTTTTCTTGTATTATACACACTAATACGACTCATCAACTATGTACAGCTTAGTTAACAATAGTCTTCCCCAATGGTTGGGTATGTGGGTTTCCCTTATTCTGTCATAATTATGTTACAATGAGTTTCTTTCTGCTGAAAGGTTTTTCCTATATTAAGTTTCTTCGGCTAGGCAATATTCCTAGAAATGGGCTATGCATTTAAAGGATACAAGCTATTCTAAGGCTCTGGATGTATGTTATCAAATTGTATCCCAGCAGGTCCATCCAGTGTTTTGTTTTACACATGTACCTATATTATGTGAGAATGTTTCCTGACACCTCTAACAGCATTATATATATATATATAGAATATATTTAATATTTAATATATAGAATATATAGATTTATGTTTGTATTATATATTCACTATTGATTTGACACAGAAGCATAGTACCTTCTGTTTTTGATTTGCATTCTTCTTGTCCCCAAGAACTCAACTATGCCCTTTGAAAAGAGCAGAACACCAAGGGAAGAGTCTTCCCTAATTCAAAGGGACAGCCATGGGACAGACACAACCATGGAGGTGGAAATGAGTGTTAAAGGCAGAAACCCAAAAATCGCCCTCTGAGGGGCACCTGGGTGGCTCAGTCGGTTGAGTGTCCGACACTTGGCTCAGGTTATGATCTTACGGTTTGTGAGTTTGAGCCCTGTGTTGAGTGGAGTTCAGAGCCTGCTTGGGATTCTCTCTCCCTCTCTCTCTGCCCCTCCCCTGCTCTTTCTTTCTCTCTCTCTGTCTCTCGCTGTCTCTCTCTCTCTCTCAAAAATAAATAAACTTAAAAAAAAAAATCCCCAGCTGAGGTAGAGGCAGCCAGGAGCAGAGCCACTTGAGGGCAGAATGAGGCAAAGGGACTGAGACCACAAGAGTCAGCCCTGTGAAAACCAGGAAGGTTTAGACAACAGTCTGCAATCCAGACCTCATAGCTAGAACCCAAATAGCTAAATCCACAGGATACGGATTTTTGTCTTCTAGTGTGTGGTGTTCTTAGGTCCAAAGTCTTAATGAGCCCTCACTTTAAATTTTTCACCACAGGTAATTTCTCCATTTCTTTCTCCTTCTTCCTAGTTTATCCTGCCAGCTTGAAATTCCTCTTGAGACAGGATTTGTCCAGAACCTACTGTCTTGAAGCCAAATCATTTGTTTAACTTACACAAGCATGTAACCAAACTGGAAATCATGTACCATGGACCTGGACTGTGGGGGCCTGAATTAAAATCATTCAAGACAGGAAGAAGTCGCCATGGCCAATCAGACTTCAGAGCCAAGGGTAACATTAGGAGTGGCCAGCGTTCACCGCCTGGAGCTGTTTATTATTAATGTGGAGTCAAAAATCCTTTCATAATTTTTTTTTTGCTGTGAATACTTCATAAAGCTGAAGTGTGAAGGGAAAAGGGAAATATGAAAATATGAAACCTCATGAATAAATGAATATTCTTAGCTATTGTAATATGTAATTAAACTTGAAGGAGCAATTGTTTCTAGATTATAATTTCAAATTTATTTCATTGAAGGCATTTTTATTAGTTTTTGTCTCTGGTCTTTAGGACTTGATTCTAGTGATTTTACTGCCTGGGAAACTGAGAATAATGAGTATGAACGTTCTAGTTGTGCCTACCTACCTCACAAGATTTTTTTTTTTAATTTCTTTAATGTTTGTTTATTTTTTAGAGAGAGAGAGAGACAGAAAGCAAGTGAGGGGGGGGGCAGAGAGAGAGGAAGACACAGAATCTGAAGCAGGCTCCAGGCTCCCAGCTGTCAGCACAGAGCCTGATGCAGGGCTCCAACTCACTGACTGCAAGATCATGACCGGAGCCTAAGTCAGATGCTTAATGACTGAGCCACCCAGGTGCCCCTAGCTCACAAAATGTTAATAGAAACATTGATTTCCATATCAGGGCCAACAAACCTTGCCAAACTCTGGCCTGCTTTTGTACAATGTGTAAATTAATAATGGTTTTTATTTTTATTTT